CAGACAGCTAAGCAATCTCGGGGGCTACGTTGGCTACCTTCTTGAGGGTGAAGCGCGTTGCGTCGGATTTTCGACATACCGAGAAATCACTTCTTAATATTATCGTAGGTGCCCCCGTTGAAAGTTCATTTGGGTTACGCTCGTAATATAAATTTTCCGTTTATAGGATTTCTTATGTATGAAATACATCTGTCAGTGAAATGTTACTCACACACGGAAAAAGAAGATTAGTTGAATTAACCAAATATCTGATCGAATATGAACGATCCAGAAATTCCGATTGAAATAACCCGAATTCTGTTTAAGTCAACAAAAAGTCTTGTTAACTTAAATAGAATTTGAGTTACTTTAGTCGAAATTTCTGGATCGTTCATATTTGACTAGATATTTGGTTAATTTAACCAAACCTTTTTTTCCGTGCAGAAATACTGTATTATGTATGAAATGTTGAGAAATAAGTTTCAAGATTTCATTGGAAATTTTAAGAGACAATTCAATCTCTTAAGTGGTACGGACGAAAGTTTCGTGGTAAAATATTAATTTTCTTTTGCTCTCTTTTTTGATATACTTTTAAATTCCCTTTACTTCTGAACTATTGTATCTTTTTTAAATCATAGCAAGTACAAGTGAAAATTGAATAAATTTTGTGTTCTATTTTTCAAAATTTTTCAGAGAAAATAGCGATGAAGAGAAAAGAAATCTAGATATGCTTATTTTTTTTAACTATCCTTAAAAGATCTGCACACAGTTACTTTAAATCACCACTTAAGGAGTTAAATCTTTCTTTATCGCGTTAGAATATTATTTACGATATGTTTCAAATAACTTACAAAATTTATTACTTACAACATGTCCACCGTATGTCATGCAAATTCGTTGTCCGGATACTTGACCGGAATTGAAATGTTGATAATATTTTACCGTATTTTGAACCTACAAATGGAATTTTGTGCGTTTGCTGCCATTTAAAGGATCCCAAATAGGATTTCAGCTTCCATGTGTATTATATATACGCTGATCCTTCAGAATACAAAGATGTTAGAAGGTTCAGATCCAAAGTAGAGCTAAAATTTCGACTCAAGTTCACGATATGGAAAAGCGTTCACTCTCGCATAGTGATGAATAATCTGCCGACGGCACGCCAAAGGAAGAACTCGTTGCTTCCACTCGCACTCTGACCCCGCAAGCTCGTTTCCACAAGACGGTATCGCACGCGCAGAGCTCAGAATAAAGTGCGCGACATCGCAGGGGCGACAGAGCCGATATAACCCGATTTTATGAGAAGGTCCCGGCGTAGAGGAGAGAAAGAGAGAAAGGGTGAGAAGGGGGAAGATGGTATCGGGCCCTGTGCCCGGTCCCAGGCGATATAAACTTAGACGCGAATTAGTGGCGCCGCGATAGCATCTCATTTCGTGGCGAGCGTGCGATCAGGAATTTATCGAGAAATTAAATTAGGAATTATGCTAATACCCAGCGCCCTATATAGACGGCACCTCACCGAAGTCGACCGCCGTGGTGAATGAGCTGCGGCGGGCGTCGCATTTCCCCGGTTTATTTATGCGTTATTTGCGCCGCCCAATTAAAGGCGCCTCTCATAAGTGCGGCGCGCGACGCAATTTGCGGCGCTGCATCATGACTCCCTGTTCGCCCTCAGATTTATGCAACCCGGATTCGAGGTGACGATTCAAGTCGAGGTGTCGTTCTTCAAGTTAAAAAAAAAAGAGCCGCGTGAATTGTACGATCAATTCGGCAAATTGCGACGAATTACTTCCTTTTCAAATGCATATAGCAGTAATATAGCGCGATGAGTAAAAGAATGAATGTATATTAGAAGATATATTATATTAGAAGAAAAAAGGGAATAACGAACAATTTTCGTATAAATAAGTTGAATTCGCCGCGGTTTAATCGCGGCTTCAATGACGTACTGACTGGAAGTCGTTGATCCCGATTTTATAGCGCGTACAGGCGTGTCGGTTTTAACGCGAGGAAGATAATGATCGACGAAGGCGCGGCTGGTTTTATTAATCGGCCGGTTCGTAAATAAGATTTACTTCGAAATTCCGTGGCGGCGGCCGACGAGATCGATTCGTCCACTTTTCGTGAGACAACAACGACTCACGTAGAACGTCCGCAGATAGAATCTCTCTTCGCATTCCCGACATTTTTTATAACCCTTGACGCACTGATCTCGTCGCGACACGTGAGTACGAGCTATGAATGCGTAAAAGCAGGAAAATCTGCCCTGTTACTATTATTTATAGCGCGAATGTAAAACGCGGCATTGAGCACAATGTCAGACATTAATTACGGCTATGAGATATTCCGAGCAGTGTAATCATCGTGTCAAATAATATTCTAACGTAAATACTTGCCGCTGTTTTGCCTTTTGTTGCGTTTCTCTGAAATACTTGTCTGCATCATTTTGCGTGTTGATATATTTCCGGAATGTACAATTTAATCTCATTATTCTTGATATCATCGTCATATCTCGCTTGCGACTCTTTTAATTAAAAAACCCTTAATTAAAAAAAACTGGTCAACGATTATATCTCCGTTGGGATCTTAACGATCGAGATCTCCCGCGACAACAAAATACCTTATTAAATTTAGCGCATCGATGCTTATCGTTGCGAGAAACCGAAAGAAACAACAAAGAGGTAGAGTGATTTAAGAGGCTCGCGCGGAGATATCGAGATGACAAATTGCACGGAGATAATTATTAATTATTCTCCCCGGAGTTAGATTGTCGAAGCTCCCAACGTTTAAGAGACTTACACACGCGCACGTTCTCTCTCTCTTTTTTCCCCCCCTCTCTCTCTCCCTCCCTCCTTCTTTCCTTGATTCCACGTGGTCGCTGAGAAACGAGAAAGTGAGGAAGAGAAAAAAAAGAAAAACGTCGATGCCGGAGACGCGGAGTAGGTGTCACGGAGACGCGGCTTCGAAATAAATGTCTCCTGCACGCGATGAGTCACAAATCCTAATGAAAATAATAATGCCCGAAAGATTCCGTTCTTTCGTGGTCGCGCGGCGTGCAACGCGGATAAATTTACTGCGCGATCTACAGACGGATAAGGCATACCTGGGGACACCTCCGTCCGGTTATAGGTTCCAGCATGTAACGGGTGGTACGAGAAAGATCAATGCGATAGACACGGCTCCACGTCGTTCGGAGAGTCTTGTCTTTATGCGACAATACGACGTCCCGACTAATTAGAGATCGCGTCTCTCTTGAGGAGGAGAGAATCGAAACCGATGTAATTGCGACTGTAGGCACCGTCGACGTAACGGGCGATGCCAAAAAACAAGATCGATGGATTCGAATAGCATCGGGAATTCTACGCAAAAGTGCAAAAATAACATCTTGATTAATCAAGAATCCTGAGTATCTTCTGTAATATTGGGATGCCAGTGTGTGCGCGTGTGTGCGTATCATTTCGATGAGTTCACCTTTCCGTCCTAACAAGCTCGTCGCAATTATTGTGTCGTCACAAATCCGCGCTGGTGACATTCTGATGTAGCTCCGAATCATTTCATCTGTTCTCGATCATAATATAATAAAAATATTTCGGAAAGTTTTCTTCTCACAGCGAGACATATCGCAACGGAAACGTTGTCGATATCGCGGCCCTCATCGTGATTCAAGTGCTCACGACCCAGAGGTCTTCCGTCGCTCCCTTATCACTCCGATAGTTTCTCTCTCGTGCGCAAAGACCGGTTCTCGAAAACACCCCGTAGACAAGTGTCGCAGCACTTGCCTTGAACAGTGCGGTATCGTCGGCCTCACGTCTAAACGACTTGTAAAACAAGCGCTTAACGATTGCTGGTACCTGGAGGAGATAGAGAAAGAAGAGGGAAAGAAAGGTGGAAAAGGGGAAGAGTGAGGTAGACGAGGGGGGCTCAGTCGGGCCCGTGGGTCTCACGTGCTTCGAGGAGGTCCAGCCCGCTAAATTGAGTTTACGAGACGCCAGAGAGCGTCTCTCTCGCCTTCTCCTCCTTCTCTCTCTCTCTCTCTCGTCCCTTTCTCTATCTTTCTCCCGTCCCTTTTATTTCCGTCCTTTTCCCCTTTTCTGCGTGCCTCTTTAAAAGCTTACCCTGCCTCTTTTCCTCCCTCCCATCCACCCGTCCGCCGTCCGCGTGCGCTCGGTGCCCGCCCTTAATTCACAAGTACGGGAGAGGCAGGATATACCCTCTTCTCGGTACTTTACGTGCCGGCACCGGTATTATCTTAGGCGATATTATTTCGATTCCCCGCCGCCTCGCCGATCGGCGTCGCCGGTTTATCGCGAAACGCTGTTTAACGCGACGCTCACGCCTGTGCACTGCCTGCCTCTGCCTGCGGATGCAATTAAATCGCGCCCCCGGGATGTCTTTATAATAGGATGACGAAGAGCACGCGTCTAATGGGGATCGGTGGGCAGCGTGTATTAATATTCGCGTCGTTTTAATGGCGCGAGTTAATGCGCACTTGGCGTCCGGTGAGGCAGAACTTTATCTCGAGATAATTAGACGTTTGACACTCGACATCTCCCGGGAGTGTGAGCGCTTTACCGATACGTTCTTTCACACTCAGGGGCCACACTGCGATACTTCTCCCGACGGTGGATTAATCATTCTCACGACACGAGCTTCTCGAGGAATACAAAATTCGGCAACGAAGAAGAAGACAAATGTGTGATAAGGCACTCGTTGCGTCTGGTAACAGCGAATAATAACGACGCAATTAGCATAACAATTTGTCCGAAACCGGCTAGCTGGCTTCCAACCTTTCGCTTATTTCGTGCGTAGCGTAAATCTTTGGCGAAAAAGCAGTGGACGTCTCTCTTTCCCCCCCCCCCCTCTTCTCT